GTGCACACCTCACCAGGCTTACACCTGGAGTCCTTGCACACCACCATTCCCAGCTCCGTGTCACACCTGCACCTGGAGTGACAGGTGTCATCACCCCAAAACTCCTCGCCAGGGCGGTAGTAGCGGCCGTCACGGGTGCAGCCACAGTGAGACACTGGCACGCACTGTCCACCACTGAGCACGTGGCCAGCGTTACAGGCACAGGTCTCCACACAGGGCTGATCACAAGTGGCCGGATTGTCCCAGTTGGAGCAGGTGGCTGGACAGGCATTGCCACAGGGCTCATAGTGGCTGTTTTCAGGGCAAGGTAAGGCTGCAGGGGGAGGAAACTGGGGTGAGGGAGGGATTAAGGGAGTGGACAGCATTCAACAGAGTGGGTGGGAATTGGGAAAGTGTCTCAAACATGGGGAAGGGTCTGGAAAACAAGGTCTGGAAAACAAGGAGGAAAGTCTGGGAAATGTGGGGAGAGACGGGCACAAGTGCGATGAGGTCTGAGCCATGTGGCAAGGGTCTGGGCCATGTGGGATAGGGTCTAGAATACACAGGATGAGGTCTGGGACACAAGGATAAAGGATTCAAACATGTGGCAAGGATGGGGTCTGGGAGATATCTGTGACACAAAGATAAAGGTCTGGCTCATGTGGGAAAGATCTGGCTGGTGTGGGATGGATTCCTGGAAAGATGGGGTGGGTTCTGAGACACCAGAAGCATCTGGAGCATCAGGAGAAAGTTCTGGAGAACTTCCAAGGATCACCTGAGGGATTTGAGGGCTTCAACCCAGGATGGATCCCACTCCATGCCCCTTCTCCCCCACTCTGGCTCTTTCCCTTCCCAAAGAAAACCCCGGCCCTTACGGCATCCTGATGGCGTCCTCCAGTCATGGACCACGGCCCCATGCTTCTGACATGTCGCTGCATATGTCTCCAGCACCTGGCAGAGGATCGATCTCGCCCCATCGCTCAGGCAAAGGTCAGAAAGGCAGTTGCGATAGAAGTCGTGAGGCTTCACTATGTTGTGGCATGCTCTGAAGGGCCCCTGGAAGGATTTTTTGATAATCCCACAGTACTGGTTCCCGCCATAAAGCTCCTTCTTCTCCTCATCACATACTGGGCATGCTCCATCACAATAATCCCAACAAATTGGGTCGTCGACCTCAGAGTCAGCACTTTTCCAGCTTTTGGCCCAAGTGATGATGGCAGTGATGTTGTCACCAGCCTCAGGGATATCATCAAGGGGCTTGAGGTTGAAATTCCCGCAGAGGCCACGGACATGGCGGAAGTAGCTGCTGGGGAGGTCAATCAAGAGGTGCCAGTTCCAGTCGTAGGAGACTCGGAGACCAAAATCTGTCTCCAGAGCAACGCGGAGCCCACTGGGACGGACCCGCACCTTCCCGTCTGCCAGGAGCACTGGGAGCAGTGTCACCTCCCCGTTCACCTGCCAATGGCCCAACATTCCCAGTTAT